ACACCTCTGACGTCCTCTTTGCAGCGACACTGTCCCGCAATCATGCCCAGCGTTGTGTCTGTGTGACTGTCACACACACCTCCATCCAAAGTGCCTGCTGGGTCACAGTCACAGGCTATGAGACGAAAGAGAAAAAGTGTCTGTGTGGGGCGGAAGAAATTGCTGAATGGGATAGGCAGAACAATGCCACACCACTCCTCCTTTCATCTGCAAAAACCTGCTGAAGGCTCCATAAAACCAGCCCTCATTGATGGCGACTTCCAGAAATAGTTAATTGTTAGTATTTTCTCCAGGTGGGAGCAGCCTCAGGAAGACCAGGGCTAACTTTGGGTTTTACAAAAAATTTTAAAGATTTTTTGGGTGCCTGTTGACACTGGCCTGTTCATGTTTCTCTCATTTTCCCCTCTAAGGTAAGGAAAGAAAACATTCTTGCAGAAAGGACTATGACACACAAACACACTGGAACATGCATTTTGGTTGTGCTCGATGCACAAGAAAAGCAAAAGTTTGGTTCTCTGAAAGATGTCCAGGAACTGGATCTTTGCATTTTGCCACATATTCCAAGGCCACACTTGGAATACTGCATCCAATTTTGGTCACCACGATGTAAAAAAGATGTTGAGACTCTAGAAAAAGTACAGAGAAAAGCAACCAAGATGATTAGGGGACTGGAGGCTAAAGCATATAAGGAACGGTTGCTGGAATTGGGTATGTCTAGTTTAACGAAGAGAAGGACGAGGGGGGACATGATAGCAGTGTTCCAATATCTCAGGGGCTGCCACAAAGAAGAGGGAGTCAAGCTATTCTCCAAAGCACCTGAAGGCAGGACGAGAAGCAACGGGAGGAAACTAATCAAGGAGAGAAGCAACCTAAAACTAAGGAGAAACTTCCTGACAGTTAGAACAATTAACCAGTGGAACAACCTGCCTCCAGAAGCGGTAAACATATGACCTTAGACTTGACACTAGTACTTTCTGGCCAACCCAGTACAGTATTAAAAAGGGGTGGCCACCTTATTGAACTTCTGACCCTGCAGAAAACCTCTGGTGTTGATATGTCATGAGCCACAAAAAGACCCACGAAAAGAGAATCCAAAGGGAAACCTTGTGAGTAATTTCCGACTTTTGTTTCAATCAAAGAGCTCAACCGAACACTTGAGTTAGAACTGAGCTGAACTAATTGCTAAAGAAGATAATGTGATGGGATCGTAGAGTACAGAGTCATCCAGCACAAAACATTTTGTAGGGAAGAACCCATGAATCAAATGCACAGACCGTTCTGTGCAGTATTCATTTCTACTGAGTTCTGACGGTTTATTACATAATCTACTTCAAGTCTTTTCCTCTGGAGGAAAGCTCCAATACTATCTTACAAGCAATAACGCTCTTTGTACAGATCAATACATCCTGGAAGTGCTAAAAATGGTAGCACCCAATCACTGACAAGTTTAAAAATTCCTACCAATTTAACTAAGGGGAATTTAAAATAGTGTTAGGGTCAAGAGAGCCAGCTTGGTGTCGTGGTTAAGGTCTCATGCTAGAAACCAAGAGACTGTGACTTTTTGCCCTGCTTCAGGCACAAAGCCAGATGGGTGATCCAAGGCCAGTCAGTTTCTCTAAGCCCTAGGAAGGGGACAATGGCAAACCACTTCTGAAAACTTTGCCTGCAGGGACTTGCCCAGATAATGTCCAAGAATCAGACACAATTGAATGGAAGAAGAAAAAAAGGTCAATGAAAAAAGGAAAACTTTTCAGTTCTACAGAGTGTTTCCCAAAGCAAATGGCAAAGCCACTCACTTTCAATCATGTGTAGATTCAAATTGCTTCCTCTTTACTCCTGGGGTATACACAAGGACAGGGGTAGGCAACCTTGGCTCTTTTATGACTCGTGGACTTCAAGTCCACGAGTCATAAAAGAGCCAAGGTTGCCTACCCCTGCACAAGGCTTTAGAAAGTGACACACTTACGAATGCATGCTGTTTTGGCCCTGATGTCAGCCAGTGGGTTGCGGTAGAAGAACGGCTTGCAGTTCTGGCAGTGGCGGCCCATGGTGTTGTGCTGGCACTCATCACAGACCCCACCACTGGAGTTACCTGTAGCCAGGTATACGGCTATGTCGAAGTGGCACCGGTGGGAATGTTCATTGCAGTTGCACTCTGGGGAGAAGACAGGAAAGCGATTCAGTTGCCTGCATCCTGCTCCTGTCCATTCTCCTCCGTGGATACCACCCAAGAAAGCCCCCTGATCTAACAATACTTATTCCAGTAGAGCCTAAATAGACTGCGACACACAGACTAGATGTCAACGCTGCTAACCTCGGATCTTCTTGCTTTGACAATATATGAAGATGCAGCCATTTTCTGTGTTACTTTTAGAGTTAGGGTTAGATGGTGTTACTTTTAGAGTGTTACTCTAAAAGTGTGTTACTTTTAGAGTGTTACTTTTAGAGTTAGGGTTAGATGGTGCTGGGGGGGAGGGGGAAGAGTGTGCATGGGGATTAGTTAAACATAACAATATCGCAGTGGAGTATTCTTCAAGGTGGTTTGAAATAAGAGATGATAAGAAATGGCGGGTTATGAAACTGGAGGGAAGGTTTGCATTTCAAACTAATTGGAGCATGTGATTTATGACTGTTAATTGGAGGGAGGGAATTGTGCTTGATACTATGTGTTTAGGGGAGGGGAATTCAGATTTTGGCTTCGACCTTGTACGTGCCGATGCCATGTTATTTGAATAAAGATTCTTTAAGGTAAACAATGTCTCGAAGTTCTTTGAAGAGTAACATCTGTCGGAATCATGACACTATCATCTCACCTGAAACTTGGGATCCCGAATTGTCTCAAGGCATGACAATTGTGGTGCTCCGATAGGATACTCCCAAGGAGTATCACAAAGAAGCAAGGCGGCCAAGATGAAGGAGCCATCAACCGGAGTGGAGAAAACTTCGGGAGTTTCTGCAGTGGGGTTGGATGGCCATCCAAAAGAGGAAGCTCTCTGCCTGGCTCTTAACTCGATGTGAGATTCAGGATACCATACAGGTAGTCCTTGATTTACAACCATTCATTACTGACCATTCAAAGTTACAACAGCACCCAAAGATGTGACTTACAACTAGCCCTTGCACTTATGACCATCTCGGTTGCAGGATCAGAATTCAGGCACTTGGCCACTGATATTCATTTACGAAGGTTGTAAATGTCCTGGGATCAGGGGATCACCATTTGCGATCTTCCCCACGCAGCTTCTGATAAGCAAAGTCAGTGGGAGAAGCCAGATTCGCTTAATGACTGCATGATTCACTTAACAATCGTGGGGGGGGGGAAAAGATGATAAAATCGGGCATGACTGACTTAACAACCGCCTTGCTTAGCAATGGAAATTCTGCTTCCAACTGTGGTTGCAAGTCAAAAGCTCCCTATATCGTTTAATAAATCAGTAAGTACACCCACGATTAAACCGTTCTAAGGCTCCTGGTCTTGGCTACGTAACCACACAAAGCCAGTGATGTTACCATGTGCATGATCTCCCTGCAATGACTCCCACTGGTTTACTATGCAACCCCTCACTGCTCCATGCAAACACAATGGCCCAGCCTTCAGCCCACACCTTTGCAAGCGTGTGGATCGTGGACCTCGGCTGGACTCCAAGGCAAGTCCTGATAGAAATCCTTGCAGAGCTCACAGTTGAGACCCTTCGTGTGGTGCTTACAGACACATCGTCCATGGATCTGGAGCAGAGGAGACAGGCAAAATAGGTTTACAAAGCTTTGCACACCAATTAGCGCAGACATGTCAAACACAAGGCCCGGGGGCTGGATGCGGCCCGCGAAGTGGTTTCATGTGGCCTGCAAAGCATCTTGGAAACAGTGAGGGAACGGCTCCTGTTGCCTTGGCCCTGGCCCAGGCCGTCCGGGAGCCAATGTACAATTTTGTGGTGACCATCTATGCTGAAATGCATTCAGTCTTAGCTCCACAAGGCGTCTGGAAACAGCGAGGAACCAGCCCCTGCCGTGTTGGCCCCACCCCCTGGGTGCATGCTGGGGAGGTGTCACCCTTTGTGAGGAATGAAGAAATGGACCATTGCCTGGAAGTGGCCAGCAAATGGCCCTCGCCTACTTCACATATCCGGCTTGATGGGCTCTGCCCTGGTCCCACCCCCTTCTGCCAGAGACCCTCAAATCTGTCCACTCCTGCCCAGGCCCCCACAGGCACCCTTGACACGAATGATGTAGAGCTGGCCACGCCCACCCAGTAAGCCACACCCACTCTATCCATACCCACCCAGTAGGCCGCACCCACGCTGGCCACACCCACCTGGCCCCCCAAGGGCAACTGCAATGCTGATGCGGCCCTCAATTAAATTGAGTTTGACACCCCTGAATTAGCGAGAGAGCCTCTCCCAGCATAGAGATATTTTTTTTTTAAAAAAGAGCATGAATTCCTATTGTAGGTGCAGAGAACTCCGGATACAAACTAAGCTCACATAAAATGATTGTGATTGTCGATTTACTCATCACCCTGATCTTCTCCTTGCCTCCCACAGAGCAACTTACCATGCCTTCAACCGGGTTAGCTGATCCTGTGAAGGGGGCACACTCGGAGGCATGTCCATAACAGAAGCAGCTTCCTCGAAGCACCATCTCATATACCGCATAGTAGTATTTCTGCAGGACTTGATATCGTGAGTCTAACAAATTGTCTCCCAGCGTGTGCAGCTTTGTGAAGTTCACCCGCAAGTTGGTGACACGTAACAAATCTGGGCAAGAGAGGGAAGTGTTGAAGCAGTAGTTTAGCTTTTACAGACTCTTCAGCCTCCCCCTTTTCTATCTTCTTGCTTTTCCCCTTTCCTTCTTTTTACGGTCACAAGGCAGGAAGCACAATAATATATATAGGACCACGTTTTCCCAAATGTATCTCTTCCAAAGTGTTGAATAAAAATTCCCTTCATGTCCAGATTGGACAGGATGTGATTGTCCAACACATCTAGAGGATACCTTGAGGTGAGATGGGCAGCCTATAAATTTTATAAATAAATAAATAAATACATTGGAAAAACTGGCGTATAACACAGTACAGTCCTGTGTTATCGTAACTTACAAAAAGCCCTGTTAGATTAAACCAAATGCCAATCCAATTCAAGGTAGTGGTCAGCCTCCCAGGTCAACCAGAGTGGGAACATGACAAGGTTAACTAATTCAATTTTATTATAAGGCTACATTGATAGAATCTTGCAAGTCTGAAAGTACAAATCTCCCACTGTTTCTTTTTACTGTCTAATTACTCGGTTGTGAGCTCCTCCCTCTTTTATCTGATTGTTGCCTAGGCAGCATCTCTTTCCTCCCATCTACCAACGTCATTCTCACATCCCGCTACAGTGATCTTATTTCTAATAAGGATGCCCTTTCTTTATTAAAATGTCCCCCATTCCCTTCCTTGTTTGGGGAATGACTCTGTGAGGGTGGAGGTTCATTCTCCGAGCGTGTGGGTTGGTTTCCGAACCTTTCATTACCAGGCTAGGTAACATCTTCAGTGGAGTTTAAGGAACGGAATTTCCTTAAATTCCTCTGAATTTCCTTATTTTCCCTGAAAATAAGACCGCGTCTTATTTTATTTTATTTTTTTGCCTCCAAAAGATGCACCAAGTCTTACTTTTGGGGGATGTCTTACGCCCCTCCGGCACCGACAGCCCCACCCAGGCGGCCCACTTCTTCTTGGCCCAAAGGAGCAGCTTCATGTTGCGGCTGCATTCCAGCTTGCCTTTTGCAGTCAGAGGCCTTTCCAAGAAGGCCTCTGCAGACGAGTACCGAGCTATGGATCCAATCCATAGCTCGATTCTCGGCTGCAGCAGCCTTCTTGGAAAGGCCTCCGACTGCGAAATGCAGGCCTTGCTGCCGAAGACGCCGCAGAAGAAGTGGGTCGACGAGAAGAGGCCTGGCGGCAAGGTAAGTGGGTACGGGGTGCATGGGGCAGATCCATACCCCCGCCCCAGCTTGATTTTTAGGTGTGTGCCTCGCCCCAAAACTAGGGCTTATTTTTGGGATAGGGCTTATATTAGGCCCACCCCCAAAAATCAAGCTAGGGCTTATTTTCGAGGTAGGCCTTACTTTTGGGGAAACAGGGTACCTAGCCTGATAATGAAGCGTTCGGAAACCAACCCACAAGCTTGGAGAAGAAATCTCCGCCCTAATCCTATACTCAAGCTAAGATTTTTGCTACAATTGCAAGCATAACTCGGTGTCAATATCTAAAACCTTGGCAACCTTATTTAACCCTTCGCAACATTTATTTTCAATTATCAGAAGCAATTTTTCCTTACTTCCCATTGAAGCCATACCTTGGATTTCCTGGCTGTAGGGGTTTTCTACTTTCACAGCAGGGTCTAGTACCTTGAAAATGACCTGCAGAGAGAGAAGTTAAAAGATACATTTAAGCTTTCCCTAACTTCCCAATAGCATAGAGGTAGTCCTCAACTTACAACCACAACTGAGGCTGGAATTTCGGTCATACGTCGTTGCAGTCGTAAGTCTAGTCACCATTTGACCTGACTCAATTTTATGACCACTTTTACAATGGTTGTAAAGTGAGTCACCATGGTTGTTAAGCCAACCATGCAATCATTAAGCAAATCCGGCATAGCCAATGGGTGTTTTTTCCTGTTTTCTTCTGGAAAACAGCGAAAAAGTTGCAAATTGTAGTCCAATAAACCTAGGACGCTGCAACCGGTTGTAAATATAAGGAGGTGGTGGGTTGCAACAGTTGCAACCTTGAGGATGGGTCCTAAGTAGCTTTTCTGAAGTTTGTTGTGATCACAAATGGTAATTTATGCAACCAGTCGTATGTCAAGGACAATCTGCAAAGTCACTGAGTTCTTTTTATCAAGATCAATGTCCAAGGAAAAGAGTTAGGGCAAGGCTGTTAAGTAAATTAGGCAATGACTTGGTCTAATAATAATTAATCATGTCAGCCCTTTAAAATAAGAAATCCAAAGTAGTGAATAAACTACATAAACACATAAAAGATATATTTTTAAAAAGCTGTGTTACACGGATACAAAACAAGGCATGTCATAATAACACTGCCACTATGAAAGGGGTTCTCATATTTAGTGGCATCACAAGGCCCTGAATTTCAAATAAGGCTGACCTTTCCCATCACCTTAATACTACAAATTCAGGAATCTGCCCTAAAAAAAGGCAACTGAGCCAAAGTTAAAATGAGCCGTTGAGAAATACACTGGATTTGGAGATGGGGAAAAAAAATCTCCCATGTAAAGAATTAAGTTTGAGCTGAATAGCATATTTTGATATGAAAAGGCCAAGAGGTTTTGGTCCCAGCTGCTTTACTTAGAACTGAAGATATTAGGGAGAAATTCCTTGATATCTCTCTCTGGCCTGTGGATAGGGAAACTATGAATGCTTAGAATATTTTTTTCCTTATCTTAACTGGCACCTTTTTTTTAACATTGTTGATAGGGTAGTAGTTAAACAGAAAAACCTGGAGCCCAATTCTGTCAGGGCTATAGTCGGGTATCCGACTATAGGCAGATATGGCGGGAGCCGAGGACCATATCAGGTTGGGGGAGCACGCACACGCTATTTACAAGCTTGTGGGTGCTCCGGTCCTCAGGTCTCTTCTCGGTCTCCAGGAGACTTAGACCCTCCGGCCCGGGACCATCGGCTGATGTTGTGTAATGCCAGGTCCGTGGTAAATAAGGCCCCCCTCATACAAGATCTTATTTTAGAGGGGGGCGCGGACCTGGCAGGTATTACTGAGACCTGGCTGGGCGTAGAAGGTGGAGTACCACTGGTAGACATCTGCCCGCCGGGTTTTCAGGCATTCCATCAGCCGAGGACCCGGGGTAGGGGCGGGGGGGTAGCGGTCATTATAAGGGAGAGCCTTTGCCCAAGGGAGACCACTGTGCCTCAGATAGACGGCGTGGAGTCCCTCCTTGTGAAGTGGGGGCAAGGGGTGCAAGTGGGCTTGTTGATTATATACCTGGCTCCCTGCTATGTATCAACAGCCCTGCCTGAGCTGGCTGACGTGATAGCCGGGGTGGCGGTTGGGACCCCCAGACTTATGGTCTTGGGGGATTTCAA